ACCGCCCGAAAGCACTTCCTCCGCTGCCTGGCGAAACGGACAGCGTTGTCACATGCTTGTGAACATGACACATTGGCGATGGATTAAAACAGAAAATTTCATAAATCAACTCGCCATAGACGTGCAAGCAATTTTCACGATGCGTCCAAAATTTTCGACCTGATTTATGTTGTGTTGTTTGTCTAAAATCCTTGTAAAATCCGAAGCATTCGCTAATCTCCGGGGCTAGCGCCTCATTCCTTAGCTTCACCGAAATCGCTGCATTTGGAAAAGGCGACAACCACCTGCTTGCCTCAGCTTCTCAGATCAAAAGCTTGCCGCAATGGCTTAAACTCGTCGCTGTCCGCCAAATGAGACAGCAATGATGATATGATTACTTGTGATTACTTCATTACAGCACGTGCCCAATTCCTTGCTTTTTCAAGAATTGCTGGTACCAAACGGTGATATGAGCAGAATAAACGTTGAAAGCCACTTAGAGATGTCTTCCCCGCAAGGTCCATTGAGCAGTAGGCAGGTTTTACGTGGAACGCTTAACCTCTCGCACTTAGTGGAGACAATATCTCGATATTAGAGATGCATATCAAGTGAATCACAGATTTCGTGTCCGCAAGTAAAGTTCATCAGCGACTTCATTAACGTCGGCTAAACAAATAAAATTTCTGCATAAATTACATAATTGATTCAGTCGTTGGAGACGTATGGAAGGAAGTGGTGATTCGTATTGCTGAGAAATTGCTAGACTTCATTCATCCGGATTACATGTATTTTGTAAACCTAAAGAAAGCCTAATATCGAATCCTGAAAAGCGAGCCATGGACCTGTCTGCAGACGCTTGGGATCGATCGTCAATTATTACGGATCGTCAGGACACGATATGCTAAATGAATATGATGCATTAGAATAAACGGGGTTAAGGCGTGAGCATTGCAACTGGTCACCGCTAAGAAAGCGTTTTGTCCATTCTTCTGTTTGTGTTGTAATGGATGGAAGAGGGCAGGGCAGCTAACGGACAAGTGTATCAGCGTAGAAGATGTGGAAATGGGAAGCACACTGTCTACAGACGACCTTATATTGTCGACATCTCCTGAAACTGATCTCAGCGCTCCCTCGAAAAGTTCTCAACCTGCTCTAACGTGGCCTCCAAGTCGAAGGTCTAGCACTTTCTCGGTCGCCTACCCGTTGCGCTCTGCGGGTAAAACGAGGGAAGGGAAACAGAGGACAGTCAACATACCGTCAGGTTGTGTTTATCTGTAATAGAAAATAAAAAATCGTTGACTAAGGCAGGGTTGAAACTGAAGACTATGCCATGTTCGTTCAAACCGCTTTCGCTTCCCCCGTTCACTTATGTTTGTGTGTCGTGAGCCGTCACTGAAAAAATCATCATCCTGTACACAAGCGGTTGAAATTGGCTTCCTGCGACGAATCTCTTGGTTCAGGCATCTCTGCAGATTTCATAGTTAATATATTCGAGAAAACCTTGTTGTAGATTTTGCACAAGATTTATGAAGACACATCTGCGATAAATCGGCCATGCTCCCAAAATGAGAAGCGAGACATGTATTGCTTGCTCGACTGACCGGTGGAACAAATCCGGACTGCTCAGAATGACCAGGTGGCGATTGCCTCATCAGACCACGCTCCAGGGTCCAATTTTCATCGCCAACGCTCAGATGCTGACGCAGTTAGGTACACTGCCTGACATTGCTGTCTCCTGACCTGAAAGGATAAGCGATCGTCGAAATAAACTGTCATGCTTACGGCACCGGAACAACCTCTGACCTCAAGGGAAATGTGAATGTCCAGATGGAAGCATCAGGTCAACAACAAGAACTACATTCAGAGTAGTTTATGAGAGGGATTTAAGTTTAGCTCAAATTATAGAATGTTGACAGATCTGGCTCACTTCATTCGGAGATGTGAGCCATCAATGATTTTAACAACAAATGGCAGAAATGAAAAACCGAAGAATCGTTGCTAAGAGCGACATGAAACTCGCTGATTGGAGTGACGAGAGATGGAACGAAGGATTGAAGAATGTTTCGAAAATTGACTCGAATGGCGGACAGCTGTTGAACGCCGGAATACACTAGAAAAAAGAGGATGAGATAAAAGTAAAGTAAAAAAGAAACACAGAGAATCAGAGAAAGGCACAAAAGAAAGAGAACATGAAGTAAAAATATGACAGATAGATAATTAGAGGCCACCACTAGTATGAATCCCAAAATAATTTATTTTGATCAGACCGATTGATCATTCCGTACCTCTGAATCGAGAAGGACGACTCATAGAACTGATGAACGAATGATGAGAATTCAACGTGATTGACAATACAGGGAAGCGAAGGGAAAGAGAATAACATCCTTCGCGTTGTTTGGATGGTCATTGCCTCCAAAATCTAAATTTGTACCGCTATCTAAATCTCTTGGAACAGTGGATGACATTTCATTTGTCATTCTATGTTTGAATACGATAAAGTAAATTAGTTGAATATCAAATGAATGCTTTGTATGAGACGGTGACTCGTAACTACAATAATAAGAAAAGTTTAATTCCCATTCCTCTCTACATATGTTTTATTAATAAGTTGTTTCACTCTGAATCGCTGCCAATCGGGTTCCATTGGAATTGCATTATGCTATCGCACAAATGTCAATCCGCCATGACATACACGAAAGTCCAGCTTGAATGTATGAGTTTAAATTTTCCCGCATTGTCCATCGTACTCTGCCATTTTGTTCTTCAGCTGATGTACTTCAGCTACCGTAGGCAACTGTTAGCTATGGAGAACGAACTACTGACAGATCAACCGCCCAGGTAACTGAGTGCATGAGACTTCCAAAGTTGAAACCAATCTGACCATCGATGGAAACAAAAATCTTGATCCTTGATCAACGAAAAAGCAAAATCATTAAGCCACTGAGAGATGACGAATGTCTTTCACCAACTGACTGACCCATTCCTCGGGTATCAAGTGCATTATTTTCTAACTGCAGTATTTAAGATACTTATTGGAAGACGGAGATGAGCTGCACCAATTTAACTTCGCTTATTTTAGTTGTCGTCACTCACTACAATATTACATGAAGTAGTTTCGTCGATGATTTACAGTGAATTGGATATTGGTACCATTGGTATATACGATTATGTATGTTATCATCAGGGTTAATTGATCAGTTCTTATATATTATTCACTAAGAATTAAATAAACGATTGGTAGATTAATCACGTGTTAAGGCTCAGGTTATTTGATAGAAGCGTAGCAAAAGTCATTGAAAAAAAATGAAGGTCATAATCAATATAATTAATACTCATAAAACTAACCACGGTAATATTTGATAATTGGTACATTATTATTGTTCGATGCCGCCAGTAAGAATGACAATCGTCTGTTACTTCTCGAGATTTTCCCTGCGGTTTTGCATTCATGCACTGCAGGTGCTAAAATACCGTGGAACCGTGGCTTTCTTAGGCGGTACCTTAGACTACTAGAAGGAAGGGGCGATACAAATGCACCGTGTAATTCCAGTTCGATGTAATTAAATATGCATGTTTTCAGTAGGAGCAGAAGCGAGCCAGATATGCAAGGACCAACCGGTTGATGATTCTGTAAACAGAAGTGCGGAAACAATCATTTGAACAAAAAATATTAATATCCATGCCTACAAGGTAAAACTGTACTATTCAACATTAGGGATGAAAGACCTACCGTTCAGATCTTGCTCAGATTCAGAGGATGAGGAACACGCCAATAGCTAACAGCTGCAAAATATTTTCATATACAGATAAACTCAAAGTTAAATGAAAATCACAACGCAATAGAAAGTTCGCCCCTCCAAATTTTATTATAATCTTTTAACGCATTCGACCTTCTGCTAGGCTTAAACAAATTTAACAGCTTTCAGCAATCCGGATGTGCTCAGGGCGTTTTTTACAGGCCGTTTTGTCGTAATGCTCGGGATTTCGCAAAGTGCAAGAAAATCATTTCAAAGGTTGTGTACATTGCAGCATTATCACGGTGAAGGGACGGACCAAAGACAACAAATAGACTGTAGGTCTTAATGAAAGCATGTTCCTCATTAGTGCCATCTCGTCCGACTTTCTTTCGGATAGATATACTCAGTCAGTTCAGTCGTAATTTGCTAATTTCTCTCATGCATATTACTCGTTGGTTACGTCCTCAATTCAAAATATAAGTATATATGGGTGGA